GTGGCTCCTACTTCAATGGCTAAAAAAAAAATCATGCCAATTAAATTAATTGAATATTTCAAGCTCAGTATAGGAGAACTCTTTTGCAAAATTACTGCAGAATGAATTTGTTACTTTGTCTTAAAGTAATGTTAAAAAGACTCTGTTGATTTCTGGTTAGTTATGTTTAATCCTGTCAAGTTTGGTAGGACAGTTGTATTAAAAGATTTTCAATTCCCTTTCAAAGGTCTACAATGAACAGATCCGTGATCTGCTGGTAAACTCGGGACCTCTGGCTGTTCGTGAAGATACCCAGAAAGGGGTGGTAGTGCAAGGGCTAACATTACATCAAGTATGTAAATAGGTGTTGAAACTTCACGGTGCATTTGAGAAAATGAGTAAGGTCCCATTGCTCTGTGGGAGTTGTATCCAACTAAGTGATTTCCTTAGTGGGCTTTTTTTCTGGCCATAATTACCAATACCTTAGTAACTTGCAAACATAAGTAATGATTTAAAAGCATGTTGTGGGAAAAAAAGTGCTGATGTTGAATACAAACAGATTGCTCATTATCAAAAGGGTACCATTGGTTTGATGCTCACCTTCAAGATCTGGGTTTTATGCTAGAACACCTTAGCATTTGTTCAAGAAATTCACTGCCTTCAGTGCTGTTTTGGAGTGTTCTACATGCCTGCAATGTCTTAGTGTTGGGTTTGTTTTTAAATAGTCATGCTTGAGAAGTTTCATGTTAAATTGCCTTTCCAGGCCAGTGTAGCAATTCTTTGGCTACGTCAGTGACAAAACCTGGAAATCAACTCTCATGGACCTATTTTCCGGCAGCCTTTTAGTGTATGTTACATGCTATGTAGCTTCCAGCCTTTGTATACTAAGAATAATGATTCAAGAGGAAACTGTTATTAGGTTGGCTTACTCTGTAAATGCAATCCTTCCCAAAGCTTGTGTCTTCTGGGGAAAAAATTAGTATATTGCTGTTTAATGCATTGGCACAAGAAAAATTAAGTCAATCATTAAGTAAGGCTTCTTATAACAATGGAGAACCTTAGCAGGTTTGTTTAAATTCTTCACTAAAAAATTATCTGATTTTAAAGTACTTGCTTTTCTCAGTTAAATAGCAGTAAGGTACGAACGTTTGAAGTACTTCAAATTCAAAACAGGAAAGTTTTCTTAGTTCTAGGTAACTAAAATTTCAAGTTCCTTTTTTTTTTTTTTTCCCTTGGTTTTTTTTTGTTTTTGTTTTTGTTTTTTAATGTTAATGTCTTTTAGACCAGTGTAGAATCTCCTACAGTTGACTAAAAGAAGTGCATTTATCTTTTACTCTACCCTTACAGCCTAAATCAGCAGAGGAAATCCTTCAAATGTTGGATTATGGAAATAACAATAGAACACAGCACCCCACAGACGTAAATGCCTCCTCTTCCCGGTCCCATGCTGTCTTTCAGGTAAGAAGAGGCAATAGATGTACAGTGGTCATTACTGTGAGTTGTAGGTTTTAATTAAAACTGAATGCAATGGAAGCTTTTTGGGGTTTTGGTTGGGTTTGGGTTTTTTTTTGTTTTTTTTTTTAACTGTGTTGAATCTTAGTTTAGGTTAGAAGAGAATGAAGTTTTCCAGTTTATTGTTCTTTTTGACTTATTTCTTGTAAGTATGTGAATCTTGTAAGTAGTGATTTCACTGAGTTAATCTTTTCCAGTATAAAGATCTCTAGTTCCAATAGTTTGAACTAATATTCCTTGGAAGAAATAGCTTTTCCAGAAAGCTGTAATCTTGAGCTTTGAATGTACTTCCATATTGTAATCTTATAAAATGAAAGCTGTTGGGATTTTGGTGTTAGTTTGGGGTTTTTTTAATGCTTTATAGTAAATGAAACCATGAATGTTTAATGGTTTCATTCCATTGCTCAGCATTTTTCTAGGAAAAATATTTTACAGAATGCAGTTACATGTCTATGAACTGAGAACCTCAAGTACAACTTTCTTATTCCGCTTACTCTGGAGAACATCGATTTTTATACTAGAGTAATTTCTTACTGTTCTCGTATGTACCAAGTTTTAGTACAATTAAAGCAGTATATGTTTTCTGAAAATATCTCCATACGCATACTTATGTCATCAAAATGAAATTCTGATTTTTAGTTTCCATCTATAGGAATCTTAAATCTGTTGTAGAAATCTGCTAAAACTTAAGACTTCTCCAAAGATTATTGCTGTTTGATTACCACCACCTTATCTTTCTGGGTCCTTAAATGCAACCTGTGATGCTTTCAAAAAATAGTATTTAAGAATCAGTCTTGTTAACTAGAACTTCCTTTATTTCTGTTTCTGGTGCATACTGCAGAGAACATTATCTTGAATAATTAAATGCTACCATTCTGGGTTGCAAAATAGTAAAGTAAATAGTAAAACATATTTCAATTCCTTGAACTACTGTTAGGTAGTTCTTAACTATACCTGCAGACTTAGACAAAGCTTAATAACTATAGCCAAAAGTTTGTGTTTTGACATAGATGATGGCCGTGCAAGTAGCTGTAAAGTTACCATGCCAGAGCTCTACAGTCAAGATTGATGAGAAGTGGTTAGTAACAGGCGGCATATGTCTTAAGTTAATCTCATGGTAGATACACTTACTTGTTAGCAAAGGTTGCACATGCACCAAATAAACTATACTGACAAAATTACTAAACCTATTATTTTATTATGATTTTGTTTGAAAGTTTAACGAAAAACCCTTGATCAGCATTTATGCTTTTTTAGATAAATTATGATCTGAAAATATTTCTAGCTTATAGACAAGAAAATTAAACCAAATATGAATGCTTGCAGGTGAGAGGATTGTTTTCTTTCTGGCAATATAAGTAAAAACGTAATGAAAAGAAACATCCTCTCATACTTAAATATTATAGGAACAGCAAATACGTAATTTCTGTGTGCGTATATATATATATGAATATATTTGGGATGCAGCCTTGTTTGCCATGCACTGAATGAAAGCTGTTATGCTCAATGGTTTTGTAAATGTTTTTCATATTATGGTCTAAAATGAACAAGCTTCGGGTTTTTTTATTTGTGTGCGTATTATATACACACTGTGAACTGGTGTGTTGCATGAGAAAGTACAAAACCAATCATTTGGTTATGAAATACTGCTATAGTAAGCATCTGACTTTAAAAAGCAAGAAGGATATGCTTTTGTAGCTCATATATATTAAGCCCTGAATGATTTTTCTCTGATGTCATTGTTGTTGATAATAGAATTCTTACAATTATTTAAGCTAGCGTGAATGTTTGTCTTTGAAGTTGAGATGACTGACAAAGTTATTTTTGGAATAATCTCTTCATGTTGTTTGGTTTTTTGTTTTGTTTTGTTTTTTTTCCTGTGTCCCCATAGCAGTAGTGGCCAGCAAAATACCCTTGACGGTGTAAAATGCACTGGCTGTCTTTTAGCCAGTGTCCATACACAGCTGCAGTCAGTTAAATGGCATGTTTGACTGACCTTGATTTCGTGGACAAATATCTAGGGGTTACAACTTGTTTATGAAGCAATGGATCTTTCAATGTAAAGGATAGGCATTGCCATGTCATGGCTGGAAGCATGTTCTGCTCTGTACTCAGCACTCAATCTTGGTGCACAGTTCATTCACCAAAACTGTCAAACTGATTCTGTTGAAGGATACTAGAGTTGGCAAAACCTTTCTCTGGTGTGCTTTGCAATATTCCTAATCCAGTTATTCCTGTCATGAGGTAATCCTGAATGTTTGTTGTGTTTGTCTTTAGAGGTGGTCTAACTGTCAATCAAGATATTTAATTGCTTTTGCTTAAGTTGTATTTTCTGCCAAGTGCACAAAGTATTGGTAAAAGTAATGATTAGTTTTGTTAAACAATTGCATTTTAAATACGTGATTTGTATAAATATCTATTAATATGGTGTGTTCTCAGAGATAAACAAGTGCAGTCTTTGAATAATAGCACTTTCCAGAGGGAATGGTTTTTAAGCCTTTTCACAGAAATTACTTTATGCGTGAGAGGAGGAGAGGATTAATTGTTTCTCTAGAAAAATGTGTACGTGTTTAAAAGAAATGCTGCATCTGCATGTGGCACTTGAAAGCAATATTACTGTTGCTAACTAGGTAGGTCCATTGAATGCACTGGAAGTTTAACTGATGTTAATTTGTGTGTACTCATTTAAGCAAATTCACAACCATATGCTTTTAAAGTGGGTTTATCTTCTTGATGCACTTAGTAGTAGTGGTGGCATCTGTAAGAAGTAATTACAGACTGGTCAATTAGTGCTACATGTAACCACCTGTGTCAGTTTCTATTACCACAAATTTGTGGTATTTAGCAAAACATGTCTTACCTGCTTATTCTTTGTTTTATTGCATCTTTGCTTCCACAGGTACAAATGATGAGAAATGCCTATTGCTGCCTTGATTCCTCTTAATTTTTAAGTTTTCTGCTATTTTTGAGTTGCTTTTGTTAGTAGAGAAGTGCTTGTTTGGTTTATGCTGGAGATGACTTTTGTTGCTCACTTTATTGGAGCAGGATGTTTTCTGGGACTGACTCAAAGTAGTAAAAGTCTAGTCCCAGGATATTCTGAGCTGATCTTTGCCTTACTGTACCATCTGTCTTAGGTTTGAAATATCTATCTAGGTCAGGCAATTACTGCACTTGAAAGTAAAATCCCAATTGCCACACTGTTCTACTGAAAATGTTCTGCTGACGGACAAAGAAGTAGGGAAGATCCTGCTTTGGGGCATCTCATCTTTTGAATTTTTATAGAAGATGTGTTGTACAACATAGTTTGGCTGTCACTCCGCTTTTCTCTACTTCACTAATGATAGTTACTGGGTTCTGGTAGAACATTAGTTAGCTGAAGATAGCTACTTTTCCAAGGTTAAATACTGGGGAGTAGCTTTTTTTGTTTGTTGGTTGGTTTGGGGTTTGTTTTTGGTTTTATTTTTTGTTTTTTGGTTGGGTTTTTTTGTAAATTGTACTAGAAATAGAACCTACCTATATTGTTTGATAGAGAAACACTTCTATTTTGTATAGGTATTTTGTGGCAAGTTATAAGAATTTTATTCACTCCCAATATTTGCAAATTTTTTTGGTGTTATAAATTGCTGTGAACATTTCACTGTTCATATACAAAGCTTAAAACTGCAGAACTGGTGAGAAGTTGACTAATAAAGACAACTCCTTTACGTGTAGGGCAACTCTTCCCCAATTCACTGTCTAAAAGTGCATTCATGAAATTGTCAGTAACCGTTAGCCTTGCAAATGGCGAGGCACTCAATACAAAAGAAGGGGGAATTTCTAGAGAATCCTGAACAAGCAACAGCCATCTAAGGATAACAGTAATTCTTATTGACTGTATAATCATGCTTTGCCTACTTGTTCGTAAGCCTGAGGAAAGAATACCTTCACTAGCAGAAGGAAGCAAAAGCATTTACTACTTCGTAAATCTCCTGTGCCATGAAAATTTCAAGAAAGAAGGGGTGAGGGAGAACGGCTTTCCAGAAGGGCCCAGAGTAATACGTTTGTTCACAGCAGTAAATCAGTATTGTTCCCTTATTAGTGGTAGTTACAGTTAAGTATAAATCACTGGAAGTCCAGCCTTTTTCCTGGTTTCTCCCTATATGTATATCTTTATGGCATACTCTTAAAGGTGCCTTGAATAAATGAAGACCATTTTTAGTTTGAAATGAAATAGTGTGTTACACATCTTGAGTGCTGAAGAGTTGAGAGCTATTCTAGCAATGAAATTCATTTGAAGCTCTCCAACCTTTGCCACTCCGGTAAGCCTCAGCCTAGTTGCTTGCTTACTCCTCTGCAGCAAAAGAGAGGAGAGGGAAATAATCTATTTTAAGTGAAGGGGTTAAAGGCGAAAGCAATTACTTGCCACTGGCAGACTGATGTCCAGCCAGTCCTAAAGCAATGGGAACTGTGGAGAAACCAAAAAAGCTAGAGCAAAAGCTAAACACTGGTGTGCCACCAGCACTGCTGGGATCACAAATATGAAAGTACCATACAGGCTGCTATGCTGAAAATTAATGAAACCCAGTGCAGCCACAGCCTGCTTCTTTTTCCTTACTAATAGCTGGAGCTGGTAAGTTTAAGGGGTCAGTGTCAGAAATGGATTCACTGTTTTCCATTAGGCCAAACTGCCTATTGGTGTTAGATATATACTGGAAGGTTTAACTTGGATTCCAAGAAGGATGCTAATGTTTCTGAAAACAGTTGTTACACTGTAAAATAAAGTTATTGCTTAGAGTAACAAGACTCATTAGTTGTTACTTTTTAATTCTATTCTTTTTTTTTATTGTAGATTTATCTAAGGCAGCAAGATAAACCAGCCAGTATCAATCAAAATGTTCGCATCGCCAAAATGTCTCTCATTGACCTGGCAGGATCTGAACGTGCCAGCGTGACAAATGCCAAGGGGGCCCGCTTTAGAGAAGGAGCAAATATTAACCGCTCCCTGCTAGCTCTGGGAAATGTCATTAATGCCTTGGCAGATCCAAAGGTATGTGCTGCTTTGCCATTCAGTCCTTACCTCCTAATGTTCTGAAAATACTTTGAAAAATTGTAAGCTTTCATTGACTTTAGTTCACAGTCCCAGCGGGAGAGTTCTCAAAAATAGCGTGCAGCCACCTAAGGATAGTGTCAAAGATGAATGTACCTCCTTTTCTTAACCACACTTTTCAA